AATAAATAATTATTTTAAAATATAATTATCAAATATTAAAATATTTTTTGTGATAGTATAATACAGCGCTTCTAACACTACAACTACAAAGTAGCATAGAGTCATAGACAACGTTATTAAATTAAGTTTATTATTTTTTTTATAATAGAAAATTTTGAGAAAATGGAACATGAATATAGAATTCAGGTTTAAGATGTTCGAACACTTCTTTTATTGGGGTAACCAAAAAAGCTATTACGTACCGGATAAATTAAGTTTAATTTTAAATTTTCATCTTCTCTATTATTACTCATTTATAATTTAATTTATATTTTATTATATTTATATATTTTTTCAATTTTAACTATATCATACTATAAAATATGGGAGGAAAGAACTTTCCTTATTATTGGTGACATTTTCTAATCCACCGTATGATTCATCACCCTGCAAAAACACTTCTTTGTTGTTATATAAAGGAGTGAATTTAAGCTAGATACAATTTAACACAAAAAATATTTTTTTTTTTTGGTTAAATGAATGGAGATGAAGAGAAGTGTTAGGTGCATTTTGCCAGTCTGTTTGGCTTGGGAAACAAGATACAAGCTATTGCCCATTGTTTTAGACTTATTATTATTATTATTATTATTATTATTATTTTCACATTTTTGTTTTTTCAAGTGAGCTGGGCCTAATTTTTAGCAGGATTTTTCATGAATGTCTCCCCCCTCCCCCCAATAAAAAAGGGGAAAAAAAAAAAGAAAAAGAAGAAGAAGAAGAAGAAGGATTTATAGTTAAACGCCATGGTTACTGGAACCCGAAATTTTGGTTAACGGGCTAGAGTTAGTGAGCTTTGGATTTTCTGGATATCAAGCCCCGACCAGGCCCAATCCATGGTTAGCCTCGCCTGCTAGCCTGCTTGTACTGATTTACGGTACGGGTATACTAGCAGAGCGGCCTTCTCTCCATTTTATCTTCGAATGCAACCGATGTTGTGTGTGCTTCAGTTTCGATAGAAAATCACCTCTCCCGTTGTTCGAAGGAGCCATGGAAACTGCGGCAGTGTTTCTTCACTCCAACACTATCCCAGTTCATTCTCCTGTAATCGGTAACCGAAAGTTTTCTTTGAGGCATTTTAGCAAACACCTGCAAGGTAATGTAGCCAGAAATAGCTTTCAGTCTCTACAGAGCCTCAAACCCATTAGAAACCCTTCGGGTTTCTCGTTTCCCTTGCGCCATTCAGAATTGTTGTTGCGAAAGCGGAGAATTTGTCTGCTTCCTCCTTCGAAATGCTCATATTCCGACACCACAAGCTCAGATTCTGAAAACCCATTTCTTAAAGCCTTGAAAAACCTTTCTTTTGATTCAATGAAAACAGCTCTTTCGCAATTGACCCCTGTAAGTGTTCTCAAATGGTCGGTTATGTTGTCTGTTGCAATTGCAGCTACGAAGTGGGCTCTGGGTTTGGTTTTCAACCCATTCTTTTTGATGTATTTTAGCTGGACTTGGTTGTTCTGGCCGTGGGTTGTTGCTTTACTGCTTGCAGTTTACGGGATGTATTGTTTTTGGAAGCATTCACTTGGGGAAGCAAACGTATTTGAGCAACTTTCTATAGTCACCTCTGTGTTCACTTGGCTGACTCTGGTACCCCCTGCCTGTTTTAATGGCTACCTTGAAGGCTGGCCCTTTGTGTTCTTCTTCGTGTACCATTATTTCTTTTTCTTCAATGTTAGTGTAAGAAGACGGTTATATGGAGATTACTATCCCCGCCCGCATGACCCTAAGTGGGATGTGAACCTGCCTAAGTGGTGTCGCATGTTGTTCTGTGCTGGAGTAATGGTTGCGCATTGGGTTGCAGCATTTGAAGCGCCAGAGCTGCACAATATACCAGGGGGTTGGAGCAATGTTGGAATTTGGATTTTGATACTAGTAACTCTGTTAATGCAGTATAATTCTACATTGTATCTTGCAAAGTACTCAGAGAAGATTGTGGTGCCTACAGCTGTTGTGCAATTTGGGCCATACAGATTGGTCCGACACCCATTATATGCATCTACAATGCTTCTTTTTGTAACATATTTTCTTGCACTTCGGGCACCTTTGAGCTTGCTGTTTGTTGTAGCAGTTTGTTTGATGTATTATGAGCAGAAAGCAAAATTGGAGGAGGCTGTAATGGTAGAGGCTTTTGGGGATAGTTATTTGCAGTATGCTGTTAGAGTTAAGTACAAGTTCATACCTTTTCTGTACTAGCTGCAAAAGGTAAGCATTTGATTATTGGAGCCGAGCAACTTTAAAGAACGTAATACTGTACTTGCTCTTTGCAAAGACTTTAATTTCTTTTTTCCCTTGGTCTTATATATTTATTGAAGTTTTTCCAGTTTGATGAATTGGTCCTATTTATGTAATGAAGTTGTTTTGATTTGGTGCTAGAGGCTTGATTGCACTCTTTTCTGTTAGTTTGAATGAATATATTGTAGAAATCTCTTTAAGTTCATTTGGCCAATTTAGTTGTGCATGCTGATTAGTGTAGGTATGTCCTTGAGAAAGAAGCTATAAGTGCCTTGTGTGTGATCCTACCAGAAGTGTATGGGTAAGCTTGGTTAATTGAGGCCCTGACATAAGGCTGCAAGGATTTAAGCTCTTAACCTTACTTGACTAGGTTATTGAAATTGAAATGAGGAGCAATCATCTTGGAGATAAGACCAACCTGCTATGAGGAGCAGAGGAGGGAATATTGCCCGGCAAGTTAATCATAGAATTGTCACCCATTAGTTTTGTTTGAGATTTGTTCATGTTGTTGAGGCACTCGATGCATTGCATATTGATCTTAGGCTACATGCCTTAATAACTTTGTTTAACCTACCATAAACATGTAACCTTAACAACTTATAGGCTGTAGTTCCAGAAACAGTTAAACTTTTATTTTTATAATTTACACACAGCTTCATGTATAATGTGACCGTGCTTCAGAATTTGTATGAACATATCTACCCATATTTCTGCATGTGGCATGTGAAGGTTTACTTGTTCTATAGCTATATTGGTCTAATGATATTAAAGAGTTGATGCTGTTTCCATGCTGCATCTTCCATTTTTACCATGTGGAAATTTATTGTTAGAAACATGCTACTTCTCAGTATGAAAATTAATGTTGATAGTTATGTCAAAGCTTTGGTGCCATTTGCAGATCTAACAACATATTTTGATGTGCTTTCAATGTTTTAAAATGAATCTTGAGTTTGTGTGGACATGATTATGAACTGGCAGTGTAATCTGAATATTGATTGGGATTTTTGGATGACTTGTTAAGTGTCAATATGCAGACTTCAAGTTATGCTGCAAATGTATATACGCCCATGATGAGCTCTTCTGAAGGTTTTTTTTTTTTTTTTTTTTTTTTTGTACCTTCTGACTATCTTTTGTTGAATGCACTGCTGTTGATTGAGCTTGTTTGGACATTAAGGGTCTCAACAAGTATATACAAATCTATAATAGCTCTATTCTGATGATTTGCTGAGGGCCCTCCTTTCTACTAATTTTTCTTCATCTCTTGCCCTGTCATTTCATTTCTACTCTTAACATTTTGCAGTGATGGTGATGCATACAATCCAGGTTTCTCCAAGACCTTTCAAAATCCTGTTCCATGCGATCGTTGAATCATGCCACAGAAATGAAGTCGTCCTCACAAACCATTGCTCCAAGTGATAAATGGAAATAGAGGTGAATATATATATCTTACAACCTTGCAAGCAGATTATGCTTGTTGTTTGGAGGATTGATTGAGATGCTGTTGTCTTTACATTTCAATGGGACAATTCTTAAGAAAGATGCGCAGGTGGAGACTGTATTGTGTCCGAGCTTCTTTCATTGTTTCATTCATTGGATGTAACAAACATTTCAATCATTAAAATTATCATGCTATTGTCTTTTGAAGTTCCACTTATAAACCTCGGAAGGATTTAAGAGAAAGTAAAAAGGATGATGAGGTGGCCCACTCATAAATCGAGGAGTGATTAGAAGTTCCCGCGCTTTCTCAAAATGTATATTTGTTATCAATTTTTTCAAATATTTTTTTTTAGTATTAATTTTCAGTATTTAAAAATTATATTAAATTTTAATTAATTTAAAATTAAATCAGATTAAACTCATAAATTTTTTTTAACATTTATTTTTTTATTTATAAAATTTAAATTAAAAATTTTATATAAAAAATTAATTTTTTTTATTTAAACCAATAAATTATCAGTAACAATTTTTTCAAATTACTAACAGGGAAGAGTATGCAACTCCAGTAGCGAGGCACGTGTACCTTCACGTAGAACGCAGTAACAAAACACGTGGGATTTAACCCATGCTTATCTGTAACCCTCACAACCACAGGAAATCCACAATTCCTTCGCATCTTCCAGAACCACTCACTCCCACTCCCACTCCAACTCCGTTTCAAATTCTTCCTCTCATCTTCCCCTCAGTTTGAAATCCCCAATTAAGATCAATTTCAGTACAAGGTGATGGAAGAGGCCTACAATGAGGTGATGCGGATAATGGCGGAAGAACAGGACGGGTGGTCAACGCCTACTCGTGGGGAATGCCGGATACCGGCGGCTTCGGCGTGTCCTCCACCGCCGAAGAAGAAGTCGTTATCGTTCGGGAAGAAGAGGGAGCCGCCAAAGGATGGGTATTTCAAGCCACCTGATCTCGAACTGTTCTTCTCGATGTTTACCCGAAGACAAGCTTGTTCTTAGGTAGGTAGGTAGGTAGTCGCCCCTGATCGGAACTCCTTTTGGTTTTTGTTGATCGACTTTTTTTTTTTTTTGGTTGGGTCTCAACAAAAACTGATGTTTATATTGTACAATTATATCGATCTTTTTGGTTTTTCTGCCTATGGGGCTATTAAAATATTAGGGTTTGTATATTATTCTCTCGACGTATCTATAATATGTAAACCATTAATGGCGACCTCACTCCTCTGTATAGTTTCCAATCTTTCTTCTTCTTCTTCTTCTTCTTCTTCTTTTTCATGTTTAGTTTCGTCCTTTTGGTCCCTGTTTCAGAACATCGAGGGAGGGAACCGTGGGAAGTGAGAACTGGAATATGGACGTGCCCTGTGGGTTGAAATTGGAATGTCTTTGAGTCCAATATGGAATTTGGTTGGGTTACAAAGATGTCAGGCCCAATGGGCCTGGATAATATAATAATCCAAAGCTAATCATCCACCCAAACCATGAGATGTCTTCTCTATGATTTTAGAATCTCTACTTTGTATAGAGGATTTGAAATTAGCCATTAGCTATATTGTTTAATTTAATAGTTAGTGATTTTGATTAATCTATAAATTGATAATTATTGTTATTGATAACTCAAACACTTTCATTCATTAAATTAAATGAAATTAATAGATAATTTTAAATCACTATACCTCATCTTTTTCGGTATGTCTAATAATTTTATATTTTCATATATCTAATAATGAGTTATAAAACAAAAGATACCATGCACGTCCCTTCCTCTATATATATATTAAAATATATGTAAACTATATTTGTCTATGAGATATTTGGACAGGCTCTATCTATGTTAAGGTAGATTGGTTTGAATTATATATCCAAAGTGTTTCTTCTTTAGATTGTTAGTTTATTAGGGAGGGATTAAAGCTATTCCCCACTTCACATGAAGTAAAATATTCTTATGAGTTCACACGAGGGGCGCAACATCGATCCATAGTATACTTATGATTATTCTTCCAATCCACAACAAAAGCAAGTGCAAGGCGTCATCAATTCTAAGTTCCTATAATGACTACGCATATGTCATCTACCCCAGAAAGCATATGCAATGCATTATCCTAATATTAATCATACATAGGTTTGATTCCCAACATTACATATTAACCCAACTAATTAAGCTGATTCCCATTCTAATATAATGTCAATTAAACAATTAATCAAAAGCACTATGTCACTTTTGTGTAGCACCTTTACACGTAGAACCCCACGTTGTGTTGCCAAGTTTTGCTTCAGATCATTATCAGGAGTACTAAACTTATCTTAAAAGCCACTTGCCCCATATCATTATAAATTAGCCAAGTTCCCTCGCTTTTTTTTCTCCAAGTTGGAATATTGATGCCTTTCTGATAATATTTCTAGCGTGTTGATCAGTCGAGAAAATCTGAACCAATAGTTATAACTTATACGTAAAGTAAGTAAGATTAGACATATAAAATTCTAATCAAACATTGTTTTTTCTTTCTAGAATTTTAAAATTTCCAAGGAGAGGCTATAGGGAGTGACATGAAAGCAAGGTGTGATTCAAACGCGACATGAACTTACAAAATCAAAAAGCCAACCCGGTGGAATCCATATAATCTAAATCCAATAATTAGATGACATATATATTTTTTCAACATTTTTTCTAATTAAGGACTATATACATGTCAAACAAATTGATTGTTTGAGGATTTGTGCATTGAATTGAAGACGCAAAGATATAACTCTAAGAAAAATAGAGAGGATTCTTGACACAAATGGCTCACCAATTAACTTGAATTTTCATGCCTTCGATAATTAGCAAAAATAATCAGCTGATATTGATAGATCATAACTAGTTAACTACTGAGTTAATGAAATAACGTATGGACATAGTGGGTCCTCCTATATTAAAAGAAACACTTGATTATTCACCTCAAACGGAAAATTAGGATTAGACTTATTTTGGTGACAAATTAGGATTACACTATTAATTATCAAACCCTGGAAAAAAATTTTCTAAGATAAGACTGTATGTGTATATATATATGCATTATTTTCTATACAAAATTGATTTATATATAATGTTTATTTACAATAAAATCTTACAATAATTATAATATTACTAAGTGAATATAATGTATATCTTACTAAGTGAAAAAAATCAATGATTATAGTTTAACTATTTCCACCTTATATATATATATATATATATTTGCAAAAAGAAGTTTCATTTGTTATCACTTCTCGATGTTTTACCGTTTGGTATTTATGCTTTTTTATTATTTAAAAAATATATAAAATATTAATTAAAATAGTATTAAATATATATAATGTATTTTTAAAATATTACAAGACTAAAAAATCTAAAATTGTAGTTACAGATTAATGTTATCAAATTAAATCAAAATTAGACTTAAAAGTGTTAGGTTTAAATTCAAATCCCTTCATTTCTCTATGAATTTTTAAATAGATTTAATTTTTTATGTATATATTGAGGGTGAAAGATTTGAACTCATCCACAAAGATGCATGTTGAGTACGTGTAAAAAGTATAAACCAATTAAAAAATATATGAAAACTAGTTTATATTTGTAATTAAACACAGACATTATAAATTAGAAGTGTATATATAAGTGGGGATCATTATGAATAAGAATCTAGGCGGCCGTTGGTGGTGAAAGAATCGTCGGGCAACTGGGACGACTGGCTTTTGTGATCTAGGGTTTGGATCCCCCAAAATCCACATGAAAAAAAGGCTTGTTCTCGGACCACTGTAGGGTTTGTATCAAACTACCAAATAAAATACAGCAGAATTAATAGTCCGCACACCAACGCCAGCACTACAACAATTACTTTGCCCTCTTCTTTTTCCTATATGACACGGTTCCCTTCTGGACACCTGTATCGATTCATCATTAAGTTAATTAATTAGATTGTTTGGAAAAAAGTTAGTTAACAATAAGTTAATTAGATTGTTTAAAAGAAATTAATTAATTTTTTTTTGTTTGGTTACATAATAAAAAACAATGTTCCTTCATTTTTTAATGTATGTTATCTTACTCAATTTAAACTCAAATTCAAATACTTTTTATTTTCACTAAAAGGAAATCACTACTAAGATATATTTAAGTTATTGGTAAAATAATAATAAATAATAATAAGTGGGCTAGGTGTGAACTCCTTTGGATCAATCTTTCCATTCCACAGATAGACATTTGATTTAAATTTAATTATACATCCAAAATTATAGGTACCATTAATTATATTTCCTTGCTACATCCAACCAATCATCTCCTCTTCTCCTGCCTATATATACCCTCTTCTCCCCTTCTGTCCTCACAATCTAGGTTTTAATTCAGCAGGGTTCAGTATCACATTTCTCCTTCCTTTGATATCCTTCTCTCTTTATCTCTTTTATTCTATAGATTTGATTATCAAAAGCTAAATTTACGGTATGGGTTTAGGGTCATAATTCTCATTTTTCCTTTTCCCTTTTTATTTTATTTTATTTTTTTCGCTATTTTGACTTTTGTAAATGTTCATCATGCTCTTGTGTTGCTAATTGAGGTGATGAGTCTTTTCTTATATAGTTGCTTAATGATTCATTGAGGTGGGTTTGTTATTTTGCTTTACCTAATTATTTCTCTTTTCCCTTTTTTTCTCTTACTTTTACCACATAGGAGGGGTTAGGGTTTTCTTTTGGGTTATTGCATGGGGAGATCCCCATATTGGCCATTCTCTCCAATTCTTCATTGCTGCAGTCAGAATTGGCAGATGCGGCATCATCAAGATTCACAAAACTTATTTGGTAAGGGCTCAATTTGGAGCTAGTTAGCGAGATGATTACTTATCATCATCATCACTTTACTCGAAAGTTATGGGAATCTTGATGATGCTGCATCGGCAAATACATGGCTATTAATCTTTCAATGTTAATTCCTCATGCTTTGGAAATAAAGAGATTCCCGGCGGCCGGCTGGGTTGAACAAGGCAGGCAGAGCAGAGAAACTTAATTTGAAGGTAATTATAATTTTATATAAATTAATCTTGCCATTTTATTGTATAGTTTTGCCTAATTATTACTAAAGATTTGATTAAAAAGAGCTTGAAATTTGAAGCTAAGATAAGCCCTTTTTTTCAATGATCTGGAACTAGCTAGCTATATACTCAATGAGAGTTTATGTACTGCTCCTGTGCTACTTTGGCTATAGTTATTGGATACCTATATATTTCCTTAAGTATTTGGTTGTGTGAGGAACTCCCAATTAATTACTCTTAAATTTGTTTACATATCTTGTTTTATTAAGATACTCAAAAGTATACCGCCTATATTTCATTAATAAAATTTATTTTTCCATAAAGTTCTCTGTGTAAATATATAGGTGGTTGCATAGACAAGTATAACCTAAGTAATATATATGCATAGAAATTGATTAGGGAATTAAATGTTTATTGTTTTAGTTATAACATATATCGGCAGCAACAGTCATAGAGATGTGTCGTCCACCAGAAGATTGATTGATGAGAAGATGGGAGCAAGTACTTTTGTTGCAGGAGTTAGCTAGGTGGCATGGTTATGGCCACAAAAATAGATATTGAAATCATACAAAAATATTACAAATGTGTCTAATTCAATCATTTGAAAACAATTAATGATTATAATTAATAATTAATAATTAATAAAATAACTAACATATTCATCATTTAATAGTTTAAAATCAATTTACAGTCTAATGTTTTAAAACACCTAGCTAATATAAAATCAGACAACCAAAATACACACATATATATATAATAATTTTGTAAAACTCTAAACATTTATTTATGTGCTCATAACCATGATCCTAGGACTTTTAATTAATTTATCAGGTGACAGTTGTTTTGCTGTCTCTGAAAGATTTGATTTTGGTGAAAGAAATTATTTTATTTACTCCTAATAGTCATTAGAATTTGATCTGTGTAGCAGCCTTTACTCCCCTCGTCTCTCCTCTTATCCTCTTATGTATCCAAAACTTGTTACTGATTAAGAAATATACACTTGCTTAATGAGACATTAACTAATTGTAATTACATTTTTATTTTGTTGTTGAAACTTGACAAATTAATCCATGGAACATCTTTTATATTAGTCCTATAAGCTTTCCCTGTTAAATTCAACATGTATATTCATTTACCAGACTCCTGAAAATCCCTTTTACTTAGTTCCCATCATGCATATACAATATGGTGAATATTAATTATGATGACCATGACCTAGGCATATCTATTGATGTCAGATATAAATATGGTGAATGTTGAGACTGCATGTAGATATATATGCATGCTACCATCTAGTATAGCTCGCAAGCTGTTGGCCAAAAAAAAAGAGAAAACACACACACACACACACAGAGCTAGCTCTATTTGATGAGGGTTTTTTTTATTTTCAATATTTGACACTAGCTTGGTTTCTGGAATAAAATTACAATATATGATTAATTCAGGGATTATATGAACTACGAGAGAGTTGATCATGTTCATCTCTAGCTAGGAATATTTAGCACATTAGAATAGGATGAGTATGTTTATATTTGTTACTCCTTTCTTAGTAATTAATAGTATAATGATCTGTATATCTTTTGATTTAGTGCATTTTATAATATATTTATTAAAAGAATATTACTTTTCAATTTAAATTAAAATCAAGAAAACTAAAATTTGTAGATTTTAATAATTGAATTGGAGGATGTTGTTGGGTATACCAATCATTTTCTTGATTAATACTATATATGAATCTAGATGAGTTTTTGAATGATTAAATTCTTTGTGAGTTTGAGAATTTATGGACAAAAGCAATACTCCCACCGTTCAAATTTAATAATCTTAATTTGATTTGTTGAGATTTTAGACATGAATTTCATATGAAAACTTAATATATTGTATAAATAATAATTGAGTTTTTTCCTATATGTAGTTTTTGTTTAAAATTTTTATTTTGATCCAAAAACATTTTTATTTATCATTTATATAACATATTAAATTTTCATTTAAAATTTATATTTAAAAAGTTTAAAAAAAAGCTTTAAAATTTAAACTAAGGTAGTATATACTTTGAGATAAAATTCTCTTTATCTTTTTTTTTTTTAATTTTATTTTGTAATTAATAGTACATTTAATAAGCTATTCATCAAAATAAAGAGATGTTATATTATACTTCTTCTTTTTTTTCATTGGTTTTAAGGTTTAAATTTAAGACAAGCTTTTAATATATAATACCTGATACATCCATTAAGACATTTTCTTGTTTCTCTTTTTTCCTTTTTTCTTCTTCTTCTTCTTATATCCATTCTTGTCTCTTAATTTTTTTTTTACTATATTGAAATTAATTACATATATTAGTTAAGTAAAGAAAGGAGAAATGAGATTTATGGGGTTCGAATACATCATCTACAAAAGATAAACAACATTAACTTAGGGTTCATGTCACCAAACCAAAACGAGTTATTCAAGATTTTATCTAGTATGAAGTACCCTACTCTACTGTGCAGAAAAACAATGTTGAAAATTCAAAATGAACATAATTCCTTGTCTCGTAATCTATTGAAAGTTTTATCGATATATTACAACATTGGTACATATGAGACTGCAACAATAAAGTTCCTTTGCAATTTCCGACGTCAATTGGAAACAACAAATACTGTAGTAGCTTATACTTATTCACGCGTATGTTCGGTTAAGTATGAAGGCAAGACTTTGGTATGGGAAACTACAAATATTGTACTTGCTTATACTAATTCACGCGATATGTTCAGTTAAGTATGAAGGCAAGACTCTGGTATGTGATGGGAACATTTTCTATGTTCATATCTGACTTCGAAGACTCATCCAAGGGCACTGGGTTCGAAGTCCTCCTCCGACCTAGAACTTGTAAAATACTTCTCTCCCCAAATATTCCTCATGTTTAAAAAAATGAGGAAAAATATATATGACTTCAATACTGATCATTTTAAACAATAAAAATAGAGGTATATAATGTTTCTTAATTATGTTCATTTTGAATTCTCAACATTGTTTTTCTGTACTGTAGAGTAGAGTACTTCATACTAGATAAAATCCTCCAATCTATCTATCAAATAAGATGGTGAAGATAAATTCACTCCTCAAATCCATGATTTTGAATATAGATTTGAGCTCGAATAAGAAAGTAGGAATAGATTCACTCTTCAAATGGGTGATTTCTTTTAATTGATAATTTAAAGAGACAATTTATTTTTATATATATTTAGAAACATATTTATCTCTACTCTTTTATTTGAAGAATAAATTTTGATGTTTTGTCTATCATAGTGATCTAAGTGTGAGCCCAAATCCATATTCTTCTTCAGTATTGGATCTAAACTTTCCAACCAGAGCCCAACTCTTCCATACTGCATGTTGTGGTGCTCAATGACTCATAAAAATAACAAAACTAGTCTAACACTTAAAATGACCCACTGATTTAGGGTAAAAACTTTTTTTTAGTTTTTTACCTTAATAAGTTTATAAATTTTAGTCACAAACCTTATAATATAACACTTTTAACTCCTCACATATATAAATTTGAATTAAAGAAAATAACCTTCACTTAACATCAAGTTATATCATTCAGTTAGTTTTATTAATTGATTGTTAACTCTGTTAACTGACTATTAGCATCCATTAGCATTCCATTATAGAAAACACGAAATTTAAATTTAATTTTATTTGTTAATTTTGTTAACGAAGTTTTAACAGTTAACTAACAGAGTTAACAGTCAGTTAATAGAACTAATAAAACGTTATAACTTAATCTTAAGTAAGGGTTATTTTCTTCAATTTGTAAAGGTAAAGAACTAAAAGTGTTATAGTATAAGGTGATGAGTTAAAACTTATAAATTTATTAAGATAAAATACTAAAAGTATTATAATATAAGATAAGAAACTAAAATTTATAAACTTATTAAGGTAAGGGGTTAAAAGTAAATTTTAACCTTGGTCTAAGGTAATTTGCTGGCAATTTTTTTTGTAAAAGTGTTGTTTGAGTATAATTTGCCTTGAAATGTTTGTATCATGAATTATTCTCAAAGCTCGGTAAAATTTGAGATTTTAAGTTATAAATTTTAAATTCAAACATTAACATAGATAGATTGGAAGTCAAAAAGGAAAAAAACATTGAAATAGATGAAAAGAGGTTTGAGAAATAGAAGGGCTACTCTACGCACTACATTCAATATCAACTTCTAAAAAAATTATATGTTTTATGCGTTTTCAACTTTTAAAATCGTTTAAAAAAAATTAATCTTAATGATACAAAAATATATTTGATTGTAAATAAATAAATAAATAAAAGTTATTCGGATAGACTTCAATTGATGGGTAATAGTAGTCTGAATGTTTTGTTGGCGAAAAAAAAAATGGTGGTGTTCAGGATTAATCTAGACTACGCGGATATTAGATTTGCAAAATATAATCAATAAATATCCAAAAAAAGGGGCCAAACCCCAAACGTCAGCAATGATTATATAGTGTCTCAATATTTTAGGCACATAAAAAAGGAGGGACAAACAGTTTGAACTTTGAAGTGTGAAGGGTGAGGTAGACCCTTTCTATGAATTGGGGTGGACCGGGGTGCCCTAAATTAATGGGGTTGCAGGACTCCATGCAAATTTATGCAAGGTCCTCAAGTCTTGACCCAGTACTGATCTTTTGTATAAGTGTTTTAGTACAGAAATAGGGTCCCATTTGTGTTCCACACCACGGGGCTCCTCTCTCTGCCCATGCCTGTGCTGCTCACATGTCTGCATGTGGGTCTCCCCCCGAACCCAAATGCTGATATTCTCCAAGCCCACATGATAATGCAAAACTTTGCTAAACACAAAGAAGCTTTGTAAAGAAAAAAAAAAATGATATGCTCTCCACAACACATCATGTGACTTGATTTTGACCCTTTTATAATCTCTTTGACCCATTCTCATCATTTTAACTCTTTAAACTTTAATTCAAACGAGAAAAGGAAAAGAATAAATTGGTTGCTTTTTTTAGGCCCTGAAACATCTTAATCTTATAGAATTACAATTAAATTTTATCTCATACAATAAGAATTAAGAATGCTATAGTTGTTCACAAGCAGTAAGTATCTCAAGTTTGACTTCCAAAGAAAATCATAAATAATTTTAATATGAATAAATTATTCGTAGCAAAATTAAAATTATAGATTTTAAATGTGTGAAAACTACTTCAACACATATATACATTTCTTATAAAATCAAAAAGAAGGATACAACATGGACATAAATTTTTTGAGACGATAATTTGACCGGTGAAAATGTGCTAAGTCTAATGAAAGAAAAATGTTCTTAAGATTCCCTGTTCATCTTAATTGTTTTCTTTTTGTTCTGCTCTTGTCGACAGTCAATGAAAAATTGTAGAGCTCAAAATAAAAGTTTAAATCAATTGGCAGTGGCTGCAGCAGCAGCACCCATTTCTTCAATATAAAAAGCAGTTGGAAGAAAAAGAAGAAGAAGAATAAAGGATTAAACAGATGATTTCAGATTCAAAAACACTTAACTAAGAAGAAAGTTGTTTTGAGGTTGAAAAATCTTGAAGGGTGTCCCATACCACAGCACAAATCAATTTCATCACATGGAGGGCAGCAGAGGACCCTGCTGAAATATTTTAATATATGAGACTCCATTTTACAAATTAAGAAATAAGTTTCAAGCTTTCTAGTTGCTGATCCAAAGGGGTTGCATATGCATGAATCTAAATTTCCTGTATTTTATCATTTCCACAGTTCCATTTGGTTTCTATCCTGTACTGCATAGATAATTAAGCAATTCAGACCCTTTTGAGGAAAAAGAATCCAAGGTCAATATTTTTTTGTTCACATTTTTCGATCCAAGGACAAGGAGGAAAAAAAAATACAAAAAGAAGATGATTTTGCACTAAGGTCATGGGAAAATGAAGAACAAGTCAAAAGGCAAGATACTCTTACTCATTAAGACATTCAAATGTTGACTAAATGATGGATTTGCTACTCACTTTGATTATTCCCCTTCACATCAGCTTGAAGAAAAAGGATCAAAAGCCATCTTCTTTACCTGACAACATGAATAGAGACGGAATTGTAATTATATCCACTGATAAATTAACACATATATCACAAAATATGATTGTTATATCATTGCTGTTGTGTTAATCAACCAACACCCTTTATCGGATCTAAATCAGCATACATTCTGGCATCTTAATCTCAATTCATATGGTTTTCATATAATCTTCCAAAGGAGAGGAAAACTTAGAACTTGGGTTGCAAGGAGAATATCTTTGTTCACTAAAGGGGCATCTAGCTACAGGAATATACGTGATTGATGTAATTTTGACTCAATAGCCTTCAAATTTACAGTTTGGAGAAGCACCATGAGAAAGTAAAAAAAGTGTGTTTTTGTATATTCTCTTTTTCACCAAAGCGTAAGAAACATTTGAATTTATAAACGTGCCCTGTCTCTTGTACAACAATGGCATAATCCTTATCACAAGAACCAGCTCACAACCGTCTGACCCATTTTTCTCTCTCTCTTGATTGTGTCTTGTGTAGGTATATGAACTTAAAATAGCGACATTATTATGGAGCATCGTACGACAATGGTGTCTATAAAATAAATGATGGATCTCCAAGACTGAGGAGAGGGGAGGGATTCAAAATCAGGAAATCATATACCACCAAAAATATGAGGTTCTTAAATCATCAGAGGACCAACCAATGGGATAGTGACACGACAGCAAACCAATATGAGTATTATGTAAACGCAGGCCTATCTTAGCAGTAAGCAACCATGCAATTGGTCCTAAGTTCACATAAACGCCCTTCAATATCCAAGTATAACAAGTTCAATTTTCAGTCCCTATACTGCTATATATAGGAACAAATACCCCACTTGAGCCCTGATCAGCAACCAAGCTTCTCACTCACATCACATCACATCCCTTTCAACAAAACCTTTTCTTTCTCACTTCATCTCTTTATTATTCTCATTCATTCAAAGAGGTTCAGTTCAATAGATCAGACTCATATCACTGTCATCTCATCTTATTATTGAATAGCATTACTGCTTCCAAGTTCCAAAGTAAATTACATGGATGAGAAGTGGAAGCCATCCAAGAAAGAAAGTTCAAGCAGCCATTGCTCCTCTTCTTCCAAGTCTATTTTCACAAGGAGCTTCTCAACAAAGTGTTCATCTAAGTCTCCCCTTCTTAGGAGTGCTTCACAGAAGAGCTCCACTTCTTCTTCTTCTTCTTCTAAATGTAATCTTCCCCGAAGCTTTTCACAGAAGGGTTCTTCTATTACGAGCAAATGTAGTAGCTTGGCCAAAGAACAGAAGGCAAGATTCTATATCATGAGGCGCTGTGTTGCCATGCTTGTTTGCTGGCATAAACATGGAGATTCTTGAAGGAAAGAGACAGAGAATATATGTGGAGTGACCATGGGGGATCCTCCTGGTTCCTTTCTTCTTTTATCCCCCTCCTTTTTGCAGGATGGTTCCTGGGGTTTGCTTCTGCTCAAATTAGTGGATTTTCTGGCACATTGTCAAGAAGAGTTCTATGTCACAGATTCTCCATGCTGTCCTTCAGTTTTAGATTCAGTTGTAATTAAAATTGAGAGAGCTACAATTTCTACACTTTGTAACAATCAGACTACATCAACAAATAGATTTCTTTCAAATCCAAAACTTTTAAATCTTCAATATTCATGTTTCTGATTTCTTTCCTTTAACCCTTCAGATATCAATCAGCTTAGATCTCAAGACCAACAAAACTTTGTAGCATTCTGATTTTGCTTTTGGAGTGGTTTTTGGTTGGCTGTTTCCCATTTCTGTTTTCTTCTTTTTGTCATGATGGTAGAGAGATTCCCTTCAGCTCTTACTCATGCAAATAAATTTTATATTATGAAATTATTGGCAATTGCATCTGCATTGGAAATGAAAAGCAACATTGAGCAGAAAAGAGTTATGAGTGAAAGCCAGACCTTAATTTTATTCCAAAACAGATATCTGTACTCTTCTCTTCCTCTCAATTCTTTCCCGATGCACTTGAATTTACCAGATTTGGGTTAGATGTTTTCGTTTCTTGAATATTTAATCACAATTTACCTTGATGTTTGTAAAGATCGAGATGGAATCAGATCAAGGTGAGGAAATCTTCACTAGCACTATTAGGATCCCAGCCTGAACTAAGTTTTCCAGATGATGCAACAAAATACAGCAAATAGGTTGCAAGTCCCAGAACATACTCTAGACCACAAATTAAGTCCGTCACCTTTTAAAGTTCTAGTTTTTCCCATATAGCACTCTTGCCATTTTTCTTTATGTATTATTATTATTATTTTCTGTGAAGTCTATTAAGTATTTCAGCCTAAATAGTCTCTGACATTCAATTCAGAAGAAAATCTCAGGAATTCAGAAAAGGCCTTCCATCGATAGGTGTTAAGTTCTCACAGGGAGCATTCCCACCTAAACACCCCTTTATCTCAGTTCTCATGTCACTATGATATTCCATTTTTGTTGCCAAAGCCCCAAATTTCCAACATCTATCTTCAACTTTCAGATAAATCCCTACTCTTACTTGAACATCAACCACTATTCTAGTATTTAGAATAGTCTCATGAAATCTTCTTTGATTTTGATTGCAAACCCTCTAATCCTGTGGATGGCTTCTATCCATCTGAAATCCTTTACGTTTCCTGCTGCTTTCTTGTTAGGGATTTATCCTGATTATTCCCAATAACCTAATGTTGGAATACGACTAATATTTGGCATTCAAAGAGGTCTTCTAAATAAGTCTCTGGATTTGAGGTAAACTAGACAGTGGTTTCTCCTGCTTATATAATTACCTAAGCTCAAAACAAAAGTTAAATAAAATAGAATCATCCCCATAAAGGTTAGAAGAAGCCGGCTGTAAATGTCATTCATCTCCTTTGAGTTAGAGTAATGCATCTCACGTTGATTAGATTATAAGCTGAGGGGATTGCTAAAAGAAACTATGGTGAGTGGTAGGTTTTGGACAGTTTTCTAAACCTGTAAGAATTAGATAGATAACACAACATATAAGCCAAAACTCAATGTCCATGGCACAGAAATGGTCTATAGTCACAGATTCATGAGTCAAATTTACCAAATTCATAATCTAGAAGAAATATCAGATTATTCAGATTCAGCATAGTAATTAAGGAAAAACTAGAAAGTAACTAGAAAATATTAAATTATATGGTGCATACCTTAAAAGCAAGTCTCTTGGCCCCTCCTGAACTGCTTGACTTATACAATACTCCAGAAAGATACGGTATCAGGATCAGTCATGAGTGCTAATCTTCCACAGATTTGCTTGCCAAAGAGATGATAAAGAGAATGAAAAGGTTTAGAATTTTACATCTACAAGATTAAAACCATGAATCTCAACATAAGAGGAAATGCAAAATCAGCACTTCTGCAGACAATAGTTTTACTTTCCACACAAAACTTGTGTGTCACCAGCTCAAATTTCCAAACTGGCACTGCAGGCGCATCAATTCTTCTACTGAATCAATTATTTTCCATTTTTCCAAGTAACATTTCACTAATGGATTTCAATCACTTAATGCAGAGACCAGATGTGAAAGTAGACATGAATCATGATGGTGATCAAAAGGAAAAGGAAGTATTACTTGATGGAAGGACTAACGTTCCATCACACTGCTTCCTTAGGCTAGTCAGTTGGCAGCAGAACCACTTTGCCTACTGAATTCAAACATTCTGCCCATCATCATCAGAAAAAGAAAGACTCACAATGTACTTATTAAGTCTCGTGTATACAAGAATCATCATCATCCAAAGTCCAAGCACTTTCCAACCCCTTTTAGAGGAACAATCACAACTCTTGTCTCCACTCACTTATTGGCCTTTTTTGCACTGTATAAACTACAGAGGTTACAATTGGGTATTGTATATAGCAACTATGCCCCAACCACATGCTAGCCAATGAATGAGTAGAGCCTTTTAGCTACATTTTTGAGGAATACTTCTACCAATTAAAAGAACAATTTTGAATTCAAGTGTTGAGAAGTAGACTGGTTATTGCTAAATTTTAAGAGAGGAGAGAGAAATTGGTATATCAAAACTTGAATTTATTATTTATGCTCCAACTAGAGCATTGAAATTCTGGATTATACAAATACAAAAACCTCCTTGTTTCTCTTTCCATTTGCCGATGGGGAATTCTTCCAAAATTTCAACAAAACAAAAGGACACAACCAATTCAATACAAAGGTTGGGTAGACTATTGCTAACATTCTTCAAAATGAGGACACAGCAAAACAATAATAAGTTATAAAGAGAAAAAACAGAGAATCATGCATGGCAGACAGAAGATGCTTGAGTCCCTCATCAGTCATCAACACTTGGGAAGATCAGCCGGTGGAGGAAGCAGCTTCTGATTAGGCAGTTTTCCATCCAGCACTATCCATGCCATCCTCAAGCCCCAGCTAAGATGAACATCAAAGTGGCAATGCATAAGCCAAACTCCTGTAGGAGGCAGTTAAACAAACACTTTTAGCAACTCTTGCGCTATGAAATCAACAAGATGTCTGATATCATATGATTGTAAAAGCAATACTCACCTGGATTATCCGCCCTGAAACGAATTACCACCCAACCGCCAGAGGGAATTCCAATAGTGTTTCTTTCAACAGGATCAACAAGGTTGAAATTTGCAGGGTCCTTCTTGGGATCAAAGTTGCCAAAGCCCTGACCAACAACAAAGAAATTGTAGCCATGGAGATGAAGAGGATGGCTCTCGGCCCCCAAGATGCTAGTGTCCTGTAGCACCAACTCCACAGTGGTGTTGAACGGCAGCACCACCGCCTTTGTGCCATTCATGACGAGGGTATTATTCGGAGGGGTACCAGTGTAATTGAATGGATCAAGTGGATTAGTCGGGAAATCAGGGGTATAAACCCCATTAGACTGGCCAAAGAAATGGGCTTGAAGAAGAGCTGTTGTGGGGAGAGCCATGGAAATATTATTTACAGAAGCTGCAAACTTTGTGCCATTAGGCCCTTGACACGTCTGGTTTTTAGGGCAGGGACTGCTCCCTAGCCCAATCGTGAAGAAAAATTTCTTATCCACAGATTGAGGAACATTAGCAGGGAACTGGGAATTTGCCAAGCTCCTGAATTTGCTACTGAAATTGGCAGCAATATTGGTAGCATTGATGGGTGGCAAAGATGGTTTCAAAAGTGGACGGTTTTTCAAATTGGTGGAAGGTGTTTGCTCATATTCAAGAATTCCTGCAACAGTGGAATTGTCAAAGGTTCCCATTCCTGTGAAATATGGTCTGGCCAACATGAAGAAGGTGGCATTTGGGGGGTTGGATTTGGTCTTGAGGAGGACATTGGTGGTTTGTCCCGGGCTTATGAGCAGAATGCTAGTCTTGAATGGCTTGACATATACTGCATCAGCCTCAACTACAGTCAAAGTGTGGTTTGCTATGCGGAAGAAGAGCTCCTCATTAAGTGCAGCATTGATCAACCGCAGCATGTATGTCTTCCCAGGCTTAACCTTCAGCTTGAAAGTATCTTCATGGAAAAGCAAAAGCAAGCAAATTTTCAGAATTGGGTTTGGATTGGTCTCAGTCCAAATTTCAGAATTGGGCTTGAAACTTGAAAGAAAGTACCTTTTCCAGAACAGTTATACAATGGGCCTGGAAGCCCATTAAGGGTGTATGCATCAGAGACATTTGGGCCTGCTCCTGTCAGTAAACTCTGGTTGATGACTGCCATGGGATCAGCATTAAACCACTCTCCTGTAATTTTTCTCATAAACAATTTACAGGTTTAATTAATCACCATCCAAAATATTAACATAGTACTATTAATTAGGGATTAGTATAAACCATAAAATGCATACCAAAAAGGATTGGGATTTCCTTATATGGCTTGGCAAATGGGTAAGAAGTATTGCGCCTAGGGAGAATGATAAGGGGTCCATAAACCGTTGCTCTTAGCCATGACAAATGAGCATGCCACCAGAGAGTTCCCGTTTGGCCAACAATGGTGAAGTTGTACACATAAGTCTGGTTGGTCTGAATTGGACATTGTGTGATATATGCCGGTCCATCAGCCCATCCGCTCTGAAGCTGCCTGACTCCATGCCTGTTTAGATGCTCACGTAAGAACCCAACCCAAAAACTATCAATGAAAATGATGAAAGTTCATATAATGTATACCAGTGAATGGTGATGTTATTGGAAACATGGTTGACAACTTTAACTACTAGGCGATCGCCTTCTCTGGTGACTACCCGAGGTCCTGGGAACATGCCATTGACGGTGATTATGCCCTTGGTGTGGCACAAACGGGTGACATTCTTCAGCTCTATCTGCAAAGGAATTGAGAGGTATGGATTTTAGTTTTTTCAGAACATAATCATAAACAAACTTATATCTTGAATGAATATGGTGAAATTGAGATTAAATAACACCCACATTGAATTTGTAGTGCCTTGTGATGCTTTGGTCCTTTGCATTGACAACTTGAGGAGCTATCCAGAGACAGAAGAGAGCAAGAAGAAAGGACACAAGAACTGGTGTTGTTGATGGCAGAACAGAAGCACCACCCATGTTGTCTTTGTTTAGATGAAATCAAGAGAAAGAAGTGGAAGCCACTTAGAGATGTTTTTCAGTTTGGATTCAAAAGAATGCCTATATAGACATGAAAGAGAGTAAGCAGTGTTTGGTTGATTAGGTAATGTGAGATGTTACATGTTCCAGGAAAGAACAGAATTACCTACTGTTGGCCCATGCTCTACAGTGGAGTGCCATTAAAGTCAATTAATTACAATTTCTTACGATTAATATTCTCCTTAGTTTTAACTCACAAACATGTCTCATCTTTAACACATTAATTTAATAGATTTTTCTAATAATCACCCTTTGCTCTAGTGATAAATTAGTTTGTGATGTCACACCAAACTCCTAGTTTCGATTTCAGGTAATTATATCCTGAACCTAAATTGAACAAAAAAGATTAAAATAATTATGAGCTCTTCCGCTTATTAAGAAAAAACCCACCAAATAAATTACCAACTAATTGCTTTTTTCTGGTGTTAGAGAGTCTACTCAACTCCATTGATTCTAACCGTTGAGTCTTGTTAATGAAGATAAATCAGAGGGTAAAAATCTTACTATACCCCAGCTACTGCCAAAGGGACAAAATGTCCGTCCTTAGTCCATTTCACGTTCATGACAATCATTTTCTTTCATGAAAGACTTAAATGGGGACAAGGCGATTGGTTTTGGTTGGTAGATTTATGTCTCTCTCCCAACTAAAGAGAGCTCTAGCTAGGAAACTCCCAAAGCCCACGGCAAGAAAGCAGGACTTTTGACCCACCTTCCTTCAAAGCAACAAAAAGAAATGATTGAGATTTGCTCTGTCTAGCCCAGCTAGTTCTTACTCTAAATAATCAAACGCTGGCCCTAATCACTAGAGCTTAATCATCAACTAAACATAAACTAAACCCTGTATCCGAAAGATCATATCCCTAAGTGGGTCTAAGATTTTGGTTGCACCAACTACAACCCCTTCTAATGTACGGTTATATACAATGCAGATGCAGATGTAGACATATCTGCTACATGGATTGGGGTTAATTTTCTTCATGTGTGTGTTTGTGCTTCCCTTTTTGAGCATTACATAAAATGAAACAGAAAAGGTGGAAGGAGATTCATACCTTGATTGGGAATGGTTTGATAGGATGAAAGGTAATAACCCAAAGAATATGAAAATGAGAGATGGGGAAAAGCAAAGAGTTTGACGGGGTTTAAATAAGAATGGAGTTAAGGGGTTATTTATGAGAAGAAATTCCTTTGAAATATGCAAATCTATCTGTCAAGAATTAATGTGGAAAGAGCAAGAAAGCTTAGGCAGGACAAACCCTAGGCATGGCATGTTCTTCCTATTTTTGGCCATAGCAGAAAAATAGCATGTTGTTCAATGCATTTAAAGTAGATAATATGTACTCCATCTGTCATAAAAAGACTGTAAGTTTTTTAACTTTTTTTTCTTAAATTAAAAATTTTAAAACAATATTTGTACTTATTTATAATATTCTTTAAAAAGAAATAAATATAAAGAAAGATTTTTTTTAATGAGATAATTAATTAAAATAAATCGATAATAATAATGTTAAAGTAAAAAAATATTTATTTATCTTTTAAAAAATAAAAAATAACAATTATTTTAAGACAAATTTAAAACTGTAAAAGTATAATTATTTTGGAATAAAAAAAATAAAAAGAAATTGCACTGATAAAACTTGAGGACAGTTTGTTTCAATATTATTCCAAATCAAGGGGTTAGGATTCCCACCTCATGAAAGCATGTCATTAATTGACATAATTTTCATTTGTGGTTTTACACAATTATGTGCAGAGATAGGGATTTTAAAATTTTGAGTTTTTATTGTTTAAATAAGGAAAAACAAAATATTGAATCATAAATAAAAAAAAAAAAAAAAAAAACCTACAAGATTCATATTCATAAATTGAATTCCGATACTATAACTCTTAGGATAAAAATAAAAGCCACATGCATAAATTACATCAAAAGATAAATAAACCATTGAGGAGAGAAAGAATTGATTTACAAGCAATGGTTATACTATTGAGCCGAGATTTGATTTACCAGCAATGATTAGGATGGACTCGTAAATGTTAGTAATGGATATATATAGTTATTCCAAGAGCAAGCCTATCACAGTGACAACAACCTTACAAGAGCTATCTAGTTAGTTATTCTCATTTAGAGAACTATTTCATAATTCATGTTCATGGATGAAATTCGTTTTGATCAGAATGATGAAATCAAAACCAATACTTTCAGAGTCAAAGACGAGATCGAAAAGAAACAACCGTTGGGTTGAACTTAAAAACTGATTTGTACTAAAACAATTTCCATTGTTAGGAAGCAAAAACATAAATTAGAAGCTTAATTTATGTGTAAGAAACTCCATAAATTATCCACATAATCACAGAATAACGCAAAAAAAAGCATCATATTAATCCCAAATCATAACAACCGCTATAACCGCAACGCCGAGGAGCACAGCAAGGAACTTGTAGAAGGGAGTGTCAAAGTAACATTCAGCCTGCGGTTTGAAGCCCTTAGCGATGAGATGATTGATGGCGACGTAGATGAAAATCCCACAAGCAAGTCCCATGGAAATGGCGTAAACCCAATTAGCTGCACTTCCCTGAGTTGTGGAATCGATGGCTATGCCAATTCCAACTCCAATGGGACTGGAAATAGCAAAGGCAAAAGAATAAGCACAGGTTAGCAGAAACGGCCGCTTTGGTAGCATTTTTAGAAGAGCAATGCCCATTGCAATGGCTGCAAAGATTTTGTGAAGTGATATTGTCCATAGATTCCTCCATGCGTCTGCTTCAGTACCTGAGAAATGAAGTTATATATGTCAGTTAGAAATGTTTGGGACTCCAGAATTAAAAAGTTAGTGGATTTTAAGTTACCGGCAACTCCAACGGCTATGCCTTCGAAAACAGAGTGGAAACAGAGGGCAGAAATGAGAAGAATGGTGTCTCCCAAAGACGTCGTCTTGGTCAACAAGAAGATCGAATTGTCACCATTCTTAGCAATTTCTTCTGGAGTACTTCCGCTTTCTATTTGGTTTACTCTTGAATTTCTATCCTCCGTCGTAACAGAGGCTATGACGCAGTCCCCAAGCATGGTGAGAAGATAACCAGAACACGCCAACATGAAGGCGAAAGGATACGTCTTGTCTGTCACCTCACCGAAAGTTTGATCAGAATCGCTTAAGAAATGCATCATGGAGGTACCTAGAAAAACCCCACCAGCGAACTGCGTTCCAAGGAGGAGGAAGCTCTCATTCCATCGGAAGAAGTAAGGGGAAACGCCACCGGCGAAGGTGCTGACGAGAAGAATGATCAAGCACCATACTTTAACCAAAATCAAGCCCTTTGCATGGAGGTTTACGTTGCTATCTGCCCCATCGTCTCCTCCATCACCGTTGATGAGGGAAACCTGTAGGAGAAGAATAGAGATGACCAGAGAAGTTGACTTGAACTCTTTGAAGGAAGCCATTAGCAGGATATTTCTTCTCCCCTCTGTTACTTTGTCAGAACAATCAATGTAAATTAAGGTCATAGAAGTTTTCAACACATTTAAATAAGAAGAACATGCGTTGGATTTAGCTCCCATCTGCAGTACAGTTTTGACCTTCCCATAGGAGATACCAATTGTACTACACACTTAATACATATTTCATGTCATGTACTGAACTCAAACCGGCTAATCCAAATTCAGGTTTTCTTTTTCTTTTTCTTTTTTAATAAGGTTTTACAGTGAAAACCAACTTACCTGTAGCATACTAAATTCAACTTACTATTGCCCCTGAACAAAGATGATGTCTCATAGCTGGCCAATAAAAAAGGATGATGATTAATTAATTTAAATTTTTATGAACAAATTTATTTAATTAAACAATTGGTCTACATCCAAAAAAAATGTGCAACATAGTGCAATGAGAACGTAAGAAGCCCCGCCGCACAACGCATGATTAGCGCAGTATGTAATTAAGAGTATGTTTAGTGAAATTTGTAAGTGTTTTAACTTTTAGATACTATTTATATTTCATAAATTAAAATTTTTCTTTTAAAAATTTATATTTTTTAACTTTTTTTTAATCTTTAAAAAATCTTAAACAATAAATTTTGAAAATATTCAGATTCTTATTTTTTATAAACTTCTTTTTTACTTATTTTTTATTATTTTTAAAAGTAACTTTTAAATTTTTTTCTCCAATAAAAATTTAATTTCATAACTTATAAACAGTACTAAAAAGGTAAAAATTCAAAGAAACTCCGCTAAACAAGCCCTAAATCTTTCTTGAGATTGGGATCAAGAAGTACATGAGTAAATCCTAAAACCATTGGGTACTCAATAACGTGAAACAATTCTTGATGAATGCTACGTATGCTCCACAAATCCTAGTGGCTATTTACAGAGATTATTTAATGCAAATGAAAACATACTATGTTGTATTAATTACTGGAATGTCAAACCATGTCCTCGTCTGATTCACTCTCTCTGCTCTCCTGCCATCCTGATCTCATCCTAAACTTACACACTGGACAAGTGCTTTGTTGGCGCAGCCATGGATCAATGCAATTAGCATGGAACTGCAAAGAGAAAAGTATCACAACATCCATCAATTTACAAATGAAGTACTGAAATTCAAGGCTAAGGGAGCAGAGGAGGAACCTGATGTAAACATGGCAAGCTTCGGACAAGCTCCCCCCTGTTGACTTGATCCAAGCAAATGGTGCATGTCAGTTCATCTTCTGAAGCCTTAGCATTCCCATCTGTGTTTCTAGAGTCGTGCTTTGCCTGAGTGTTGCATTTTAAAAAACCATTAATACTACAATTGATATGAAATGATTCAAAGAGATGAAGTTAAAACATAGAAAGACACACTCATCCATCCATCCATGCCTGCTAGAAACGTAGAAATTAAGATACCTACCATGCTACCACTCTAGAGAACCAAAAACTAAAAGATTACAGAATCTTAAGTAGGGATTTTATGATTCATAAAACATCAGAAGGGTAGCAAGCAAACAAGATTAGACGAGTTCATATCAATATGACTATCATAAAGAAGAATGAAAAAAATAAAATAATTTGTTTTTATCCCAGGAATTCATTATCACATTCTCCCTAAATCCAGCGATCACATCTTACGGTTAGATATTCCCTCTGATTTTGTAAATTTCCCCATCTCACAATAGATAACTGCTTGAAAGTTGAAACAGCATAGCCAAGAAAAGAAGTTGTAAATGGTCTTTGATTACCATCTTTTTTTCATTGTTCAATACTATAGCTGGGATTATATAATTATACCTCAAGTGGTGCTCTAGAAGAAGATGATGGCTGTTGCAGTGATGATCCAGCACTGTTAAAGCAAAAGAGGGGAAAGAGTATGAACTATAACCTTGGTCTAAAATTAAAATAAGAAAGCTCCATATGTAAGTTTAAGAAAGCCAGACTAAACTCAAATTTAGCCATTTAAACAAACTATTCATAACTTACCTCTCAGGGCTGGGGACCTTATGCTTGTGCACAGGTAAGGCATTTATCTCCTCCTCACTCATTGAAGGAGCTGGGGAATGATTGTCAGAGTCCAAGGCTCTCAAGCTATCATAATCTAGAGCAAATAGAAGGATATAATCTTTCATGGTTGGCCAAAGAAAAGATATAAGGACAAAATAATATTCAGAAAATGTACCCCCCCCCCCAAAAAAAAAAAAAAAATGAAGCTATTTTGTCTGCAAGGGCATCTTCAACTTTTGGTAGGACTCAGGCAATTGAACACAAAGGAGCCTACCATCTAAATTTCAGAAAACACCATACCTAAGTCATCAAATTCATGGTCAAGAAGTGCAAGCTGAAGTCTTAGTCCAGGTAGGCGTCCTCTTGTTGCAAAAGCTATCGATGGGGGAACATGCAAACGCAATTCAGTATGACCAAGCAAGCCACTGGATGCTGCAGCATGTGCTCGAGCCTGAGCTTGAAGTTGTTGACAAGTTGCATACATCCTCAGGCTTGTGGCCATTAAAAAAACACCAACCACTAGCCATAGCTGCATTCATCAATACAGAAAATACCCCATTACTGCTATGTATTTTCAAAGACACAAGCAATTTACCACTAAATGTACACAGCAAGTGCATACCAGAAAGTTTGGTGACATTTGGTTAGAATTTAAAATCATGAACAGAAAAAGAACTGCCAGACAAGCAGGTAAAAGCAGAGATTAGAAATGCAAATTAGTAAAACATTACAGCAAGTAGTGGAGAAACAAATAAGACAAGTAATGTAGTTATAAAAAGGTCGAAAATATATACAGTACCTGTGACAAGGAAGGCTAGTGAATTTGAATTGACAGGTCGAGCTGCATGAATACGCTGACAAGAAGACAGGAGATGATCAACAAAAATCAGAGATCAAGTGCCCCCTTCATTTAAGAATCTTATCTGACTAAGCCATGGTTTAAAAAAATTATAGTCTCAAAGACAAGTGAACATACATACCACAGCAGGTCGTTCTCGAATTAATCCAGGAAACCCATTTTCAATATCTCCTCTACTCCCTCGGAAAACAAAACTCATTGTTGCAGAAATTCAGGAATTTCCTCCGTCCAAAAAGCTAACAAATGGCGTGAAAACAGAAACTTGATAGGAAACCTTCAAATCCTACTAGTTTTCGGATGTTGGTAAATCAATATTCACTGGATTCAGTAATGTAAGTCAAATCCCAGTGCAACAAAGAACAAACAAATGAGAAAAAAATAAGCACAGAACAATATTTCAAATTTCCGCCATTGACCCACTAAAGAAATTAATAGACAATAATGTAAAGATGAATGCCATTATCACCATTTTCTATTCTATCACAACTGAAATTTAATAAACCACATGGAAAGATACATTCATCACGACAAACGCGAGCAAAAGCATCACGAAATCACACTCTTAAGACAACCACCAAGATATTGACATTGCAAAAAGTGGCGGTTAGAACAATTCTACACAATAAGAAAACCTACATTGCCCTAATTCTCCACAAAGAAATCGGTTCATCCACGTAATCATCTCATCTCCATTAAACTAAACTGAGCACAGTAAGGTACCATCAACACCGCGCTTGATCGTGGTGAAATTGCAAGGAAAATGAAAAAGCAACACGTAAACGAGAAAACTGAATCCTTAAAAGAATTTTCTTTTCCCTTTGTCTTTTTCATCAGCCAAACATAGTATGAATCGATCGCCTGCAAGAGCAAGAAAAAGACACTCACAGCAAACGACGCGATTGCCGGACACAGAGAGAGATCAAATCAAGTGGCACTCCGATCACAGAACACAAGAATAGAATCTCACACATCTGAAATCAATGAAGAAGAAGAAGAAAATAGGTTGTTGCTCCTGCCGTGGCGTAATCTGTCATCGAAGCGAACTGATTTTGCGGATAGTTCAATATCTCTTTTTTTATTTTTTTTAAATGATTTAAATCCAACTTTATTTTACTTTATTTTTTATTTTTTTACATCTTAACATATTAGGTCAATAAATTAAATAATTTAATAATTATTTTTTTATTAAAAATAAAAAATTTTAAATTTAAATTATATAATATATGAATAAAAATAACATAAAAAGTAAGAGATAATTGTTTTTACGATGACACGCAACCCTCGCTCCTGCTTTTCTTTCTTCTGATTTTGGGTTATTTATTCATATAAGGGGTTATCAGTACTCGCTCACCGCGTGCACGGTGCACCTACCAACAATTGCAGGTCAGACTTGAACAA